GGGACCCATAGATGGGGGGTGGGACCCACGGATGTGGGGGGGGACCGATGGATGTGGGACGGGACCCATAAGTGGGGGGGGAGACCCATAGATGTGGGGGGGGACCCATAAGTGTGGGGTGGGACCCATAGATGTGGGGCGGGACCCCCCAGCGCCCCACACACCATGGGGCAGAAGCCCTCCGCGCCCCATAGCGGGCCAATCTATGGGGCAGAACCCCCCCTGCCCCACAAGTGATCACAACCACAAACTGCTCGCTACCAGCACTACTTTATTGGGGGGCAGGGCCAGCTATGGGGCAGGGCCAGCTATGGGGCAGGGCCACCATCTGTGGGGCAGCGCCATCTATGGGGCAGAGCCATGGGGCAGAGCCATCATCTGTGGGGCAGGGCCATCTATGGGGCAGCGCCATCTATGGGGCAGGGCCACCAGCTATGGGGCAGCGCCATCCATGGGGCAGAGCCATCCATGGGGCAGGGCCATCTTCTATGGGGCAGCGCCATCCATGGGGCAGAGCCACCAGCTATGGGGCAGAGCCATCTTCTATGGGGCAGAGCCATCTATGGGGCAGAGCCATCCATGGGGCAGAGCCACCAGCTATGGGGCAGTGCCATCCATGGGGCAGCGCCATCTATGGGGCAGAGCCACCAGCTATGGGGCACCGCCATCTATGGGGCAGAGCCATCCATGGGGCAGGGCCATCACCTATGGGGCAGGGCCACCAGTTACGGGGCAGCGCCATCCATGGGGCAGAGCCGCCATCTATGGGGCAGCGCCATCTATGGGGCAGGGCTGTGCTATGGGGCAGGGCTGTGCTATGGGGCAGCACCATTTATGGGGCAGCGCCATCTATGGGGCAAGGCCGCCATCTATGGAGCAGCGCCATCTATGGGGCAAGGCTGCCATCTATGGGGCAGCACCATCTATGGGGCAGCGCCATCTATGGGGCAAGGCCACCATCTATGGGGCAGCGCCATCTATGGGGCAGAGCCATCCATGGGGCAGGGCCATCTTCTATGGGGCAGCGCCATCCATGGGGCATAGCCACCAGCTATGGGGCAGAGCCATCTTCTATGGGGCAGAGCCATCATCTATGGGGCAGGGCCATCCATGGGGCAGGGCCATCACCTATGGGGCAGGGCCATCTATGGGGCAAGGCCTCCATCTATGGGGCAGCGCCACCTATGGGGCAAGGCCACCATCTATGGGGCAGCGCCATCATCTATGGGGCAGAGCCACCAACTATGGGGCAGCACCATCTATGGGGCAGCGCCATCCATGGGGCAGAGCCACCAACTATGGGGCAGCACCATCTATGGGGCAGCGCCATCCATGGGGCAGCGCCATCCATGGGGCAGAGCCACCATCTATGGGGCAGAGCCACCAACTATGGGGCAGCACCATCTATGGGGCAGAGCCATCCATGGGGCAGGGCCATCACCTATGGGGCAGGGCCACCAGCTATGGGGCAGGGCCAGCAGTTACGGGGCAGCGCCATCCATGGGGCAGAGCCGCCATCTATGGGGCAGCGCCAGCTATGGGGCAGGGCCATCATCTATGGGGCAGCACCATCTATGGGGCAGCGCCATCTATGGGGCAAGGCCGCCATCTATGGGGCAGCGCCATCTATGGGGCAAGGCTGCCATCTATGGGGCAGCGCCATCTATGGGGCAGGGCTGTGCTATGGGGCAGCACCATCTATGGGGCAGCGCCATCTATGGGGCAGGGCTGTGCTATGGGGCAGGGCCATCATCTATGGGGCAGGGCTGTGCTATGGGGCAGGGCCATCTATGGGGCAGGGCGGTCTATGGGGCAGGGTGGTCTATGGGGCAGAGCTGTGGGTCAGTAGTTGGAGGAGCGCTCCTGTTGTCTGTAGGCCCCACGGCGAAGGTAACCGCCGTCCCCCTTCCGGTAGCCGTCCTTCTGATCTGTGGGGCACAGAAACACTTATGGGGCACAGCGGCACTTATGGGGCAGCTATGGGGCAGAGCGGCACTTATGGGACCAGCTATAGGGCGCTTATGGGGCAGTGAAGAACTTATGGGGCAGCTTTGGGGCAGCCATGGTGCAAGGAAGCACTTATGGGGCAGCTATGGGGCAGAGAAATATGGGGCAGAGGAACACTTATGGGGCAGAGCAACACTTATGGGGCAGCTATAGGGCAGTTATGGGGCACGTATGGGGCAGCCATGGTGCAAGGAAGCACTTATGGGGCAGCTATGGGGCAGAGAGGCACTTATGGGGCAGCTATGGGCTACCTATGAGGCTATCTGAAGGCAATCTATGGGGCAGCCATGGGGCAGCCATGGGCTATCTATAGGCTATCTATAGGCTACCTATGGGCTATCTATGGGCTATGGGGCAGGCATGGGGCAGCTATGGGGCAGCCATGGGCTATCTATAGGCTACCTATGGGCTATCTATGGGCTACCTATGGGGCATCTATGGGGCAGCTATGGGGCAGCCATGGGCTACCTATGGACTACCTATGGACTACCTATGGGGCAGCCATGGGCTATCTGTAGGCTATCTATGGGCTACCTATGTGCTACCTATGGGGCTGCTATGGGGCCGCTATGGGGCATCTATGGGGCAGCCATGGGCTATCTATGGGCTACCTATGGGCTATCTATGGGCTACCTATGGGCTATCTATGGGCTATGGGGCAGGCAAGGGCTATCTATGGGCTACCTATGGGCTACCTATGGGGCCGCTGTGGGGCAGCTGTGGGGCAGCCATGGGCTATCTATAGGCTACCTATGGGCTACCTATGGGCTATCCATGGGCTATCCATGGGCTATCCATGGGCTATGGGGCAGGCGTGGGCTACCTATGGGCTACCTATGGGGCCGCTATGGGGCCACTATGGGGCCACTATGGGGCAGCTATGGGGCAGCNTGGGCTATCTATAGGCTACCTATGGGCTATCTATGGGCTATGTGGCAGGCGTGGGCTATGTATGGGCTACCTATGGGGCAGCTATGGGGCAGCTATGGGCTATCTATGGGCTATCTATGGGCTATGGGGCAGGCATGGGCTATCTATGGGCTACCTATGGGCTATGGGGCAGGCATGGGGCAGCTATGGGGCCGCTATGGGGCCGCTATGGGGCAGCCATGGGCTACCTATGGGCTACCTATGGGGCAGCCATGGGCTACCTATGGGCTACCTATGGGGCCGCTATGGGGCCGCTATGGGGCAGCCATGGGCTATCTATGGGCTACCTATGGGCTATCCATGGGCTATGGGGCAGGCATGGGCTATCTATGGGCTACCTATGGGCTACCTATGGGGCCGCTATGGGGCAGCCATGGGCTATCTATGGGCTATCTATGGGCTATGGGGCAGCCATGGGCTACCTATGGGCTACCTATGGGGCATCTATGGGGCAACTATGGACTATCTATGGGCTATCTATGGGCTACCTATGGGGCCGCTATGGGGCCGCTATGGGGCAGACCTCGGAAGTAGCCGCCGAAGGAGCCCTGCTTGTGGTCCAGCACGCGCTCGTTGTTCTCCACCAGCGCGCCCAGCTTCTCGGCCAGCTGCAGCGCCAGGTTCTGCTGCGCCGTCGGCTCCGTGCGGTGCATCATCACCGTCTGCGTCGGCTGGTCCAGCGACGCCTGCGGGGCGACAGCACTGGCACCACGGGGACACACTGGGACCCATAGGGACCCATAGGGACCCATAGGGACCATTGGGACACACTGGGACCACGGGGACACAGAGGGACCCATAGGGACACACTGGGAGCCATAGGGACCCATAGGGACCATTGGGACACACTGGGAGCCATAGGGACCCATAGGGACACACTGGGACCCACCGGGAGCCACAGGGACCCATAGGGACACAGAGATCCATTGGGACCCATAGGGACCCATTGGGACACACTGGGACCACGGGGACACACTGGGAGCCACCAGGAGCCATAGGGACCCATAGGGACACAATGGGACCCATAGGGACCCACTGGGACCCACCGGGAGCCATAGGGACCCATAGGGACCATTGGGACACACTGGGACCACGGGGACACAGAGGGACCCACCGGGAGCCACAGGGACCCATAGGGACCCATAGAGACCATTGGGACACACTGGGACCACGGGGACACAGAGGGACCACAGGGACCCACCGGGAGCCATAGGGACCCATACGGACCCATAGGGAGCCATAGGGACACACCGGGAGCCATAGGGAGCCATAGGGACCCATAGGGACACAATGGGACCCATAGGAACACAATGGGAGCCATAGGGAGCCATAAGGACCCATAGGGACCCATAGGGACACAATGGGAGCCATTGGGACCCATAGGGACCCATTGGGACACACTGGGACCACGGGGACCCACCGGGAGCCATAGGGACCCATAGGGACCCATAGGGACACACTGGGAGCGATAGAGAACCATAGGGACCCATAGGGACCATAGGGACACACTGGGACCACGGGGACCCACTGGGACCCACCGGGAGCCATAGGGACACACAGGGACCCATAGGGACCCATAGGGACACAATGGGAGCCATAGGGACACACTGGGACCCACCGGGAGCCATAGGGAGCCATAGGGACCATTGGGACACACTGGGACCACGGGGACACAGAGGGACCCACTGGGACCCACCGGGAGCCATAGGGACCCATAGGGACCCATAGGGAGCCATAGGGACACACCGGGAGCCATAGGGAGCCATAGGGAGCCATAGGGACACACTGGGACCACGGGGACCCACTGGGACCCACTGGGAGCCATAGGGACACACTGGGACCACGGGGACACACTGGGAGCCACCGGGAGCCACAGGGACCCATAGGGACCCATAGGGACACACTGGGACCACGGGGACCCACTGGGAGCCATAGGGAGCCATAGGGACCCATAGGGACCCATAGGGACACACTGGGACCCACGGGGACCCACCGGGAGCCATAGAGAACCATAGGGAACCATAGGGACCATAGGGACACACTGGGACCCACTGGAGCCATAGGGACCCATTACGACCCATAGAGACCCACTGGGAGCCATAGGGACCCATAGGGACCATAGGGACACACTGGGACCACGGGGACCCACTGGGACCCACCGGGAGCCATACGGAGCCATAGGGACCCATAGGGACACACTGGGACCCACGGGGACCCATAGGGACACAATGGGAGCCATAGGGACCATAGGGATACACTGGGAGCCATAGAGACCCACTGGGAGCCATAGGGACCCATAGGGACACACTGGGACCCACGGGGACCCAGAGATCCATTGGGACCCATAGGGACCCATAGAGACCCACTGGGACCCATTGGGACCATAGGGACACACTGGGACCCATAGAGACCCATAGGGACCCATAGGGACCATAGGGACACACTGGGACCCATAGGTACCTATAGGGACCCATAGAGAACCACAGAGACCCACTGGGACCCATAGAGAACCATAGGGACCCACTGGGACCCACAGAGATCCATTGGGACCCACAGGGACCCACAGAGATCCATTGGGACCCACAGGGACCCATAGGTCCCCACTGGGACCCATAGGGACACACCGGGATCCATAGAGACCCATAGGGACCCATAGAGACCCATAGGGACCCACTGGGACCCATAGGGACCCATAGGGATCTACTGGGACCCATAGAGACCCACAGAGCCCCATAGAGACCCCAGCCCCCACACAGACCCCATAGCGACCCATAGAGACCCCACAGCGACCCACAGAAACCCCACAGCGACCCAGAGACCCCATAACAACACCCAGACCCCATAGAGCCCCATAGAAACCCTATAGAGCCCCATAGAGACCCCATAGCGACCCACAGAAACCCCACAGCGACCCATAGAGACCCCATAGCGACCCAGAGACCCCATAACAACCCCCAGATCCCATAGAGCCCCATAGAAACCCTATAGAGCCCCATAGAGACCCCACAGTGACCCATAGAGACCCCATAGCGACCCATAGAGACCCCACAGCGACCCAGAGACCCCATAACAACCCCCAGATCCCATAGAGCCCCATAGAAACCCTATAGAGCCCCATAGAGACCCCATAGCGACCCAGAGACCCCATAACAACACCCAGACCCACATGGAGCCCCATAGAAACCCTATAGAGCCCCATAGAGACCCCACAGTGACCCATAGAGACCCCACAGCAACCCACAGAAACCCCA